CAGCGGGGCTGCGGCCGCTCCGGGTGACAGCGGGCGCGGGCCCTTTGCCGCGGCCGGGGCTCTGCCTCCCCGTCTCTGCACCCCCGGGCAGCGCCGGCCCCGGCGCCGTCACCCCTTACCGACGATTCCTTCCGGTCCCGGTCAGACACCCAGTCAGACAACCCCCGCCCGCCCCCTGCGGATCCCTCGCCCCGCCCGCCCTCCCTCGGCGGCGGCCGGGGACCCCCCAGCCCTGCCCCGCTCTGTGCCCGGAGCCCGCGTTGGGCCCCGGGACAGCCCAGGTGCCTCCAGACGCCCTTGGGCCTCCACAGTCCCTGCTGCTCGCGCAGTGACACGCTCAGGACACACGGACACGGTGAGAACACGGTCCTGGTGCAGCCCAGCTCCCCCTGCAGCACCCGGCCGTGGGGCCGCTGCTGGACCCCTTGGACTTGAGGGCCCTGGAACAGGCCCCAGGGGGCTCTGGGTGAGTGGCAGTCCGGCGGGCAGGGGCTGGGGGGTGCATGGAGTGTCCCCACTCTGGCCAGGCACCGCTCACCTAAGAGGGCTCTGCGGGGTCTCGCCAGGCTCTGGGCTCTAGGGCAAACCTTGGGCTGGGCTCCCTTCATCCCTTGGGTCCCTCCAGCACTACTGGCCACCCGCAGCCCACTGCAGCCCCCTCCTCTTGGTGCCACAGCCAAGGGAGTCCCTGTCCCACTGCCACAACAGGACAGCACCTATCTACAGAGGGGATGCCCCAAGGGTGCCCCCCGCCCTGTGTTCACATGATGTCGTCCAGGAGGTTGGGGCTGGCCACCCAGTCGAGGGTGCGGGGCTCGGAGGCTGCCATGATCATGCACATGAACTGTTTGCCCGTCCTCTTGTCAATGGGGTAGATGGTGGTGGGTGTGAAGCGCTTGTTGCTTTCCACGAAGTCGCAGAGCTGCTCATAGACAGCGGGGAACTCGTGGCGCAAGAAGACGCCACGGATGCGCAGCTCCCGCTGGATGTTGATGAAGCAGATCTCCCGTGCCTTCCGGCCCTCCTCCCCCTCCTTGTCAATGTCTGCCGTGCCGGGCGGTGGCGTCAGGATCAATGTCTCCATGTCCCGCTCCTTCTTCAGGATCTTCTTCTCGGGGCTGGAGGAGGCTAAGGCCACCTTGGCATATTTCCTGACCGTTGGCACCTGTGTCTTGGGCGATGGCCTCTCCGGCACTTTCTGGGTGACGGCCACGGTTACATTCAGCAGGAAACATTCGTTGGGGTCATACTGGTTGCCCGTCTCCCGCAGCTCCCGGGCATAGTCCCCCAGGTTGTCCGAGTAGCTGTCCAGCTCCCGCAGGGACAAGTAGGTGGGGGACATCAGCAGGCTCTCCAGCCCAAACTGGAGGAAGTTCTCAGCTGAGCCAGCGTTGGGGAAGCCAAGGAAGAGGACACCGCGGCCGCGGGAGAGGTATCCGACCTTGGCAATGCGTGAGAAGGCCTTGTGCACCTCAGCGTTCTCCCGGCAGAACTGCAGGACATGGCGGCAGACGCTACCCACCCGCCCGTAGACGCAGCTCGCCTTGTGCGTGTCCCAGTCCTCGCGCCGGCAGTGCCGGGAGCAGTAGTAGGTGTAGCAGCTGTGGCACGATTTGAAGTAGAGGCAGGCATTGAACATGGTCTCTGTGCGCCGGCACTTGGCATTGGAGCACATCATCATGTCGTCCTCCTCTGCGCTCAGGTCGGGCGAGCAGTTCTCTGGCGACTTCTCAAAGGGGCCGGCAGCCAGCGGGGTGGGCGAGGGCCGTGGGGCGCCAGCACGAGAGCTGGGGCCTGGCTGCTCCTTTGTGGGTCGGGGTCCCTCGGGCACACTGGGGGGGACCCGCCTGCCCTCGCCCCGCCGGGGGGGGCCCCGGGGCGCTGCTGCTCAGGAGCTGCTTGAGCTGCTCGGCGAGGCTGTCCCTGTCCCCGGCGCGGTGGCCTGGCGCTGGCTTGTAGTCGATGACGAGGTCGGTGATCAGCTCATCCAGCTGCTCCAGGCTGCGCTGGCGCCCTGAGCTGCTCTCCCTGGGGCCAGGCTGCGGGGTGCAGGGCATGGCATAGGGCCCACGCTCCTGTCCCGCATCCAGCATGTCCCAGCTGGCCGAGCGCCTCTCGCTGCGGCCCAGCCCATCGGCACGGATGTCGTTGTCAGTGATGGTGATCTCGGGCGTGACGTACCAGGAGCGGCCCGGGGGTCCGCGGCTGCCATCAGCATGCACCCGCTCAAGGATGGAGCTCTCGGAGAGAGACAGGGCGGCATAGCGCTTGGGTGAGCTCGACAGGTTGATCACCACAGGCTGCCGGCGCTCCTCGGGGGATAAGGCACGGTGCTGCTCCTGGGTGAGCAGGTTCTCATAGCTGCGCCCACGCTGCAGGGCCTCCTCCCTGCGTGCCGCCGGCGCCAGGATGTTATCCCAGGATTTGGAGTAGTGCTGGGTCTCCCGGCCCAGCCGCGGCGGGGTCACGCCGTAGCTGGTGTGCCAGGAGGAGAACATGGCCTCGCGCCCGGCCTGCTGCGGGGTGAAGCGTGACACTTGCAGGGTTTGGTAGGGTAGCGTGGCCCGCTCGGGACAGTACCAGTCCCCGAAGTGCAGGGGCTGCGTGCTGCGGGGTGGGGGGCACGTCCGCGACAGCACCTCCCGCTCCCGGTACTTCCCGTAGTCCTCGGCGTAGAACAGCCGGGCAGAGGACCCGAGGGCGGGGTATGTCCGAGCGTCCTCGGCGTAGAGGGTTTTGACAGGGGTCCCGCGCGGGGCATAGAAACGGGGCTCATCCCCGTAGAAGGGGCGGGCAGGCGCCTCCTGCACTGGGTAACCCCGTGCCTCCTCCACGTACAACGTCCGGGGCGGCATCGTGTGGACGGCAGCCTTGGCCGGGTCCTCTGCGTAGAAGGGCTGGGGCACGGCGTGGCGGCCAGGGTAGGGGTAGCTGGCGTAGCCGGAGCTACGGAGGGGCATGGCGGGGCTGGGGCACCGTGCTGTCTCCTCCGCGTAGAAGAACTTGGCGGGGACGCCGGCGGCTGAGAAGGTCATGCAACCCCTGTCGGGGTACTCCCTGAATTCCCGTGAGGCCGGCACCGGCACCGTCTGGTACGCCAGCACCCGGGGATCCGCCTCGTAGTACTCAGCGGGATAGGGCAGGAGCGGGGCGTCCCCGCTGTAGGAGTCGCTAGGGGTGGGTGTGCGGGATGCGGACGCCTGCCGGCTCCCCGGCACGGCCAGGCTGCGGGCGGCGCCGGGGGCGCGGGGCCAGCGTGGCGGCTCCGGGCGGTTCGGGGCTGCCCGCTGGCTGCGCGCTGTGTGCACCAGCACCGCCTCGTCCGGCTTGATGTCCACCCGGCACTTGACGTGTGGGCTGGCGCCCACCTTGGCCCCCGGCCCCTCCTCGTAGCAGTTGCTGCCCAGGCAGAGCGGGGAGATGCGGCTGACGCTGCTGCGCTGCGGCTGCAGTTTGATGGGGTGAACCTCGTTGGCCAGCGCCCGCAGCGGCACCGGGCCGTCGCGGCGCGGCGAGGGATCAGGGCGGGAGGGCTCCCGTGCCACCCGCAGCACCTCCCGCCCACGCCGGGCCGGCGGTGGCGATGCTGCCACGGTAATGGGGACCGCGGTGAAGGTGGACTTCACCCGTGGAGCGCTCTTGGAGCGGGCGCGGCGCTTCGGCTCACTCCGAGGCACGGGGGCTCTGCCGACGTAAGGGTCTTGCTTCGGTGGTGCCCGCCTGCCCGGCGGCCCCGGCGTGGGCTCAGGCGTGCCGGGGCGCGGGCACGGGCGCTCCATGGCTGGGGGGGTGCCCAGCTCTTCCAGCGACTCGAGGAAGTCAAAACTCCTGCAATGGCGCTTGTTGAAGGGCTGCGGCTCGCGGGACAGGGATGCGGACATGGAGGCGGAGGCGTCACATTGTGCTAGGGGCTGACAGATAACGGAATCCCCAGGGGCTGCAATGGCCACTTTGATGTCTTGGTACACTGTGGACACCAGGATGTCAGGTGGGTCTGTTCGTGTCATCTTAAAAGCAACTCTTCTCCCACCTGTCAGATGGCCTCAGAGGACGGTCGCCCGCTCTGCAAGAGAACACATGAGGCGCCTCAGTCCTGGCGGGACCTCAGATCAATCCCCATGGCTCCTGGCTCAGGGCAGGGAGTTGGCCACCTCTTCAGAAATGAGAGTTCGGGGGCATCCTAGCCTCCACTGCTGCTGTTAATAGTCAGATCTCAGGTGGGGGAAGAAGCTGCCAAAAATCTTCAGATCCAGGGTACAAATCATGGAGTGGCTGGCAGGCCATGTGTGGGGGCAGCCGGGCAGCTCTGGGTGCCAGCTCAGTGCAGGGAGAGAACACGAGGCACCGTGCCATGTTCCTAGGCCATAGGATGCAGGGACTCTCTTGCAGCATCACGAGAAT